TTAGAAGAGGATTCTCATTAGACACTGTGCAAATATTTCTCATTCCTGCCTGAACATTAAAGAGAACAGCAGAATTTGGGGAAAGAATACCCAAATAAAACACTGATAGTGGATCAACCCTTCATGGTATATGGTCCTTCACTGTAGAAGCCTTCAAAAAGAGAATTTCACAGAAGAACTGATGAGATTTCACTAGTGGCTTTAATAGATTTGGAGAAAAGCCAACAACAAACCCTGGTGGAAGACACAGAGAGGGGAGCCTAGGCAGCTTTTTCTGGGTCTGCCATCATGTCTCTCCCTGCTCACAGCACCTGCTGGAGGTAGAACTTCTGAGGTGCTGGCCAGTCATATGCAGCATCTCAAGTGAGACAGAGAAGGGAGAGCTCCAGAGTCCAGCTCCCCGCTGTGATGTTGACCTGGGTGGCACATTTCCCAGCAGAAACAGAGCCCCTTTCCCACCCAGGGGGACACTTTGGCCAGAGAAGCTCCTGCAGTAGAGTCCCTCTGGCTGCAGCAGCATCACTGCAGAGAGCAGCTGCTGCACGTGTTGATGGTAATCCAGTTCTGCAGAAGACTCTGGTTTTAACTACTTTTGTAGTCGATGCACCAGCTCTAAATGGAAGACGACTGTGGCTTTGCTGTGGTAACTGCCAATATAGAGGAGGGTTTCTGTGTTTCTGGGACTCTGTTTTGAGGTCACGAGTTTTCAGCTTCAGCCCAGCTGGGCATTCTAGTTTTAATGCAAAAGCACTTAGATTCAATTAGGCCAAACTATAGGAAATCATTAAGAGCTCAAAGATTTCTAAATTAGATCTAGCTGAAGGGTGAAATGTACATTTTCACATAGCAGGCACAGTGCCTGCCAGGGGAGGTCTGGCAGGGCTGTTCCAGCTCCCTGCTAGTAACTCCCTTCTGACAGAAGGAAAGGAACTTTAGCCAGCTTGAGGCATTATAAAAAATCAAAAATAGGGTTAGAATGAAATTACAATTACAAAGTGCTAATTGAATCACGAGCACAGTGACTGCTGGAGCTAATTAGAAAGGGCCAGGGATGTCTGTGTACCAGTCCCTCACTCAGGAAGGATTTGCCCCAGTTCAGGTTCTTCGCATCACTTGATTTCCACTTAAAGCAGCTACTGGCAGACAGAGAGGCATTTGGCTAATACAATTTCCCATCTTGGCATTTTAACATAGAACACTTCAAGGAGACAAGGGCTTAACCACATGCAGTATTCTCCCATGGCAGATTATTCAGTATAAAACTCTGATTTACTGCAATTTAGTGCCAGGTAAATGGGAGTTGTCCTGCAATTGTACATGGGCATGTCAAAGCTCTAATGCTTCTAAGAAACACAAAACACAAAGCAAAAACTTGTTGGCCAACAAAATTAAATAATGTTGTCAGTTATATCCAGTATGAAGAATTCAGGTTCCCTTCTTTATTTTCTACATTTATTAGGTATTAATTCTGTTTCACATAGTGTAGTATACCTTGAAAAACAAAATAAAAAAGACCTGTCAAACTAATTTTTACCTTTCTGAAGCTAATTTTGCTTTCATGCTTTTTATAATGTAGATACTGTAAAAGATAATCCTATGCTATTATGGATAATTTATTCATAGGTGTTCTTTAGAAAGGGAAAAAATGTCTGTGTTATTGCAATTTTTGGCTTTTTTTTGCTATTCTTCTAGATTTGTTATTTTGTTATGAAGCAGAGAGACAAAGCCACTTGCTAAGTAACAGCACCTCTCTCTCCTAAAATCAGGAAATGGGAGAAAGGAGAGCTTGTATTAAAGGGCTGGCTACTAAGGAAAAAATAAATCACAGCACAACTTCACCCACTGTTACTCAGTGAAATAAAAGATTCTTTACCATTCCCTGGCTTCAGAAATATGTATACCTACTTAAGTATTATGTGTACTTAGGTACGCATGAAACAGAAGTATGTGTTATGTCCCACTGCCTGAGACCTATAGAAATCAATGGATACTGATACTGACTTGGAAGGGGATGAAAGTGGGAGGAATTTTGTCCACTGATACCATTAACTCTTCGAGTTTTTCAGTTTAGTGATGTGAAAAGTGTTAGAGCAGGAAGAGACTACATACTTATTAACCATTCATACAATTTCTACCAAGCAATTTGCTTCCAAGTATCACAGCTCAAGTAGGTCTTTTAGCATGTTAGCCATAATTATAATTGATTTTCATTGCCCCTTCTGTAAATCATGCTTATAAAAAGTAAAGGAATTTACTGAGACGTTCACATTGAAGTTATGTGAGTGGAGATTTCTGCTAAAAAGGGTGCTAGGAATTCATGAGAAGGACGACATAATGACAGAATGACATAGATATGTTTGCTAACTCAGTTTTTACTTCCATTGGTACTTGTAAATATCAAATATGTATAAATTGTTAAGTCAATATTGGAGAGAAAACACTCTGTGCAGCTCAAGGAAAAGTGAGAACAGCTTCTATCTTTGGCTGATTTAACACAGCACCAGTGTATCGCAGCTCTTCCCAGGAAAAGAGTATTATATCATGAGGCAATGATGATGTCAGAGACATAAGCAGAATGATGTCTTTCAGATATGTGTCTTTAACAGTACTGAGGAGCCAAGCCATAGACTGAACTGTGACTTAGGAGCTGAATAGAGCATGAAGACTGTTCCTAACCCAAAGAATTTAGGAAATGTGTGTGGTACAGGAGATACAGCAAGGCTATTAGACTCAAATAGAACTTTTTAAGCAATGCCTTGTGAGACTGGCATGTGTAAGATACAGTTTTTTTATCATGCTAGGCCAAAAAGAGATGACAAAAGAACATGCAAGTCTGAGAAGATAGAGATGGTGTAAGGAACAGATGCTGCTTCCTGCAGGACAAAGGAGCCAAGTCTGCATATGGCTCCATGTCTAAAGACTGAAGAGCTGATCTGAAATGCACAGGCCATTCTGAGTGTTTCTTACGAGAATTTTAGGAGTCTTTCTAAAAGAATAAAAAATAAAACACAATTTTCTTTAGCAAGTTTATCTTGGGAAATTAAATAATATTAGAAATTCAAGCATCATCAAAGTACCTCAGCATAATTAGGTGCCTAGAGACCTTCAGAATTTATTTGCTTGCCTATCACAATTTCCAGAAAGATAGGAGAAAAAACAGACTTCTCTAGGCTAACTCAAGTAATGCTAAATAAGGGAAATGTTAAGCAGAAGTGTAATTATGGATTTGATCATATTACCCAAATATATATTGATTAAAAATATATAAAGTTAGAACAGGATATCAAGCCAGGCCAACAAAATGAAACAAAAATTTGCTAATTTCCTTATATATTTGTAAGAGTTAAAGATTTCCTTTCTGTTCTATCAGAGAAAAAAAGTAATTTTCTTAATTGATTTAATCACTACATTTACAATTTAGAATTTTAAGTCTCATCATTTTTCTCATAAGCTGAACAAGGGATGATTGATTTTATGGACCTAGTTAATTTGTATCCTGTTGTAATATCTTGCCAATTTATTTTCCTATAATTTTAATGTCACCCTATGTAGTCCAAGCAGTGTGCTCAGTAGCTGTAGCAAGATCCTGGAGCATTATCCTACAGGTGAAGAATTTTCCAGTTGGATTTTTAAGGACAAATGAGGCTATCAATCTTGGATGTGGTTTTACTGATTTCCCCTAGATGGCAGTCTGTATGGATACAACTAAAACTGCTGCAGTAAATCTTTCTCCACCTCAGCTTTATGCATTTTGCTAACTAATTACTCAAAAGTCATTGTAAAGTGAGGGTGAAAATACAGTTTCCCTCTTCAGAAGCAATAAGAGATAAAGCCAAGGGGAAAAAAGTAATATTCACAGTGCACATCAAATGCAAAAAAAAAAAAAAATCCTAATATGCAAATAACTTTCACCCAATGCCATGCTGTGAACTAGAAAGAAACACAACAGAAGAGAAAGCAGCAGTATACAGTCACAGACTCATCAATGCTGGAAGAGGCCTTTAAGATAATCAAGTCCAACCATCAACCCAGCACTACCACTGCAGCCACTAAATCATCCCCCAGCACCAGACCCAGGCACTGCTTAAACACCTCCAAGGATGGTGGTGTCCATCCCAGGGGTGATGGTGCCCACCACCTGCCTGGGCAATCTATTGCAATGCCTGTCTCAGCCCAATGCCATTTTCTCTGCCCCTCTCACTGCAGGCACAGTAGAACAGACAATCTCCAGTCCTGTCATGAGCCTTCTTCTCCTTTGCTGGACACGCTCCATCACCTCAATGTACTTTTTTACAGTGAGGGGCCCAGCACTGAATGCAGTAGGCGAGGTGTGGCCTCACCAATGCTGGGTATAGGGGGATGATCCCTTCCAGAGTCCTGCTGGCTACACTTTTTGTACAAATGAGAGTTTCTATCAGCAACACTTATTTGCCATAATCTTGAAAATAAAGGTGCTAGAAGGAGAATCCCATTATAAAGAGTGAATGGTGTAAGACAGTTTGAATTTTGAAGTCACTGTCAACAATTTTACTAAAACAAGAAAAAAAAATGCTACCTCAAGGACTGAGCAGAATCACTAGGAGTCCAGAGAGCAGACACACATCTGAGATAGCATTCATGAGGGCAAGGTGCCTGACTCCTAGTCCTCTGACCAGAACTCTTCAGTCCAAGGGACTGTTACCTATCATGGGCTATTCCGGAAAGGATTTTTCATAGTTGTTTGCATACAAAAAGGACAAGTCTATCTAATTTCTCAAGGAATTGCTAATTATCTTTTAAAAACTTTTCTACTTGCAGCTCCACTGACACTTAGAACCACTAGGAATCATCAAAGGCTTTTGCCAAACCGGGGAAGGAATGCGACAAAAGGCAAAAGGTTTTAAGGAACACATGGTTACACAAGCAAGGCCCTTGAAGTCAAAACAACAACAACAAAAACAAAAAACAAAAACAACAACCAAAAAAAACCCACCCAAAACCCCCCCAAAAAACCCCAAAAACCTGGATAATACTGTCATTCTATAATCCCTTCCAGATATAAAGGTTTGCCCTCAGCTGTTTCAGTCAGTAAACAGGCTCTCAAGATCAAGCCACTGAAAACAAAAACTAGTGCAGTGATGTGTTTAAAAGCACCTGTGTATTGCACTCGATCAGCATATTTTTCCTCTTTATCACTTGCAGAAAGCCTGACCGCTGTCTCTTGAGAGGCAAATAATTTAGGCTGTGTCTAGGAAAGCTGTGATCTAAGATAAATAGCTATCATCAGAGTGATAGAGTGACACATAACAAGTCGTGGAGCCTCATGATGGCAATGTGATTGCTAGTTTGGAATCTCATATTATCTGTGCTAGCGTAAGAACAAATTTCTATAAATATGTGGTAGAAAGGGTCCAATTTGTTCTTCATATAATACCTGTTTTATGCTCTAGTGGAGCCAGCTGAGTCACTGAAGTATCAGTGCACTGTTACAGTGCTTTTTTAAGAAGTATTCTCACAGAATCCGAAACTGTGTACTTCTCTAATTATGTTATCATCAAAATTTATGAGTGTTAGCACCCTGCTTCTTGCAAGCTGCACCTTAAACCCAAGTGCTAATATAAGGCACTCTCAAAAAATCAGACTGCAGAGAATTCAGGCTGGACTTTCCAAACAGTGGGAAGATTTTCCCTGGGTTCTTCTGCATCTCAGTTGCTTCTTGCTTAAATGTGAAGGGTACAATCTCCTTCTCCCATGGGAACAATGTGATGGTGGATTAATTCAGTTTCTTTAAGTGCCTATGTTATGGAACACAGAAAGAGTCATGGAACACAGATACATCACACAAAGCTAGGCTGAAATAATGACCAGTGAACAAGGCAAGAGGCTTCCTATAGAGCAGCATGCAGATAAAGGAAATACCCTTCCTCATTCTGGGCACAGAATGATATACCAGGACCAGTGGGAAAAACCCCAAACTTTTTAAGACTTACATCACACTACAGATTCCCAAATGGTACAGGACAGCATTTAACAGCTGCAAAATATGCACCCCCCACCAGTATGTCTACTTTTGTAGACATACTGGTGTAATTTTGTAATCTTGCCAAACTACCATCAACAATTTGATTAACATTACTGAAAACCTATGTTTGCACAAGTTTGAAAAAGTAAAAACTGGAGTCTTCTACAAAGATCACCCCAATTAAAATGAATTTTTCAGCTGTGTTTACCATGCAAGTCCAAAACTGTGAATTTTCTCCTGTTGGAAAGATACTCATAGCTTTGCACTGGAAAAACTGAGCACTGCCTTGTGCTGCTCTATCAGTATTAGTATAAGGTTATGAAGACTTGAAATACTTCTCAAGGAAAATTTGATAAACACATTGAAAATTTATTCAGCCAGCTCCCAACCTTTATCATGTGCTTTCCCACAAGGAGTGACTGAGGGTCCCTTTTCTGTCTTGTAGGTAGAACCAATGGGAATTGCATTTCACAAAGAAGAACAGAACCTTGTCTGTGGGTGTCACTGCAACAGATGTGTGTTATATACAGCACTGTGCTGTTAATTGTGACATTAGAGATCCTGAACACCTTCTTCATGTTTTCATTGACAAGGGACTCCAAAGCACACCATTTATTTATTGCTTTCGCTGACTAATAGTATGCAAAGCTTTGATATTCTTACAAATGGTACCACTGAACAGTAGAGAGGGAAACATTCACGTGGAGAACTTAGCATAATGCTCAGTGCTGCCTGTGCAGCTCTCCCAGCAAGCCCCAACAAGCTTCAGAGAGAATAAGGCACTTTGTGTTGCCACAGATGCAAGTGTTCCAAGTACAAACATAAACTTTGTCTACAGGGAGATGTAGACAACTTCCAAACTCTGTGTGGAATCTGCAGATTTTGTTTTGCTTTAGCTAGAAAGGCTTTAATTGTCTTTCAAAGAATTGTGAGTATAAGGTGACACCCTTTCTTCGTGTTTTCTATATCATCACTTACTTGACATAGAGAGAACACAAGTCCAAATGTCCTCCTCACAGCACTTGTATCCCAGAAGTACCTCTTGGCCTGTAAAATATGCTCCTGTGAGGCTCTCTAAAACTCTTTTGCTAAAGTTTATTTAAAACTTCACTGGATAAAATGAAGAATCAAAGGTAGAGTAATGCAGAAGGCTGTACACTGCATCTGCAGGAGACATGCTCTCTTTTCTGAGGACAAGGAATTTCAATCATTTTATATGAGGTAAAAACCCACACCAAAATTTGAAAGATGGCAATGAGAGCATTACTGTGAAAGGATAGCTTCCTGCATACTTATGAGAATTTTGCAATGCAGGTTTTAAATGTTGGTTCAGCTTCCTTTGGTTTTCTTTAGACTCCCTCCTATGTAAAGTTAAAGAAGGAATTAATAGCCAGTGGTTTTTCTTGTCAGGTTTTCAGCATGTGACAAATGTTCTATTTCTGCTAGAAAGCATGTTTTTTTCTTTTCCTTTTTTTTGGCCCAAACTTTCTTTGCTTTCCTGGCATATGCTGAAAGGCCAGAACAGCTCTTCTACTTCAGTTCCTGGATCTGTGTTTGATTTTGTCAAACATCTGCAGATTTACCGTGCCTCAGCTTCCCCATGTGAAACACTACCTTGTGATATCATTACCTGAAAAGTATGAAGAAAAGAAGGAGGATGCAGGAAGTTTGGAGAGCTGGCAGGGTTGTATTTCTGGAAATTTTATTTCAAAACGTTATTAAAAAACTTTTCTGTTTGTACAACTTATTGGTAGCCCAAAGGTATGCTCAGGAAGAGGGAGCTTTTATTTATATGGAATATAAACTGTAAGGCCAGAGAGAGAAGTATCATAGCATATTCTTAACAATGACAAAGAAGAGATGGAGAAAGAAAACACTGCTGGTATGACACTTAGAGTATTAAGTTATATTGCTTGCACTGGCATAGGTATACTTTATTCTTTCCACTCTAACTAAAACAATTCTTCAAAATTCACCAGTATTCCATTTGGAAGCAGGTGGGGTTTATAACATTGAAAAGATAATTTTGGAAGAAAGAATAGTGAATTTTTGGCATGAAGCCAGTTACAGTTTGGAAAGCAGAGGCTGAGTTATGGTGGAAGTGTTTTTTTCTGGTGGTTTTGGCAAGTGTTTGTTTTTTTGTTTTGGGTTTTTTTGTTGTTGTTGTTTGCTTGTTTGGGGTTTTGTTTGTTTGTTAATTTTAATTTAACCTCCAATGAGTAGAGCTGGATCAGAGCAGCTACCAATCAAAAATCTCCCTTAAAAGATGAACAGGACTGTATACACTCCTTTGGATGTTGGCATCAGCTTCCCCCGCTAAGTTTCTACTTTGCAACCTCATCATAGAATTTCACACTGGGTTAAATTTTGGCATGATTCAGAAGAAGATGAGCCAGGAATTAATGAAGAGGAAGATTCAACAACATGATAACCAGAAGCTAATGCTACTACTGCTAGAAAAACTGAGGTAAGAGAAAAGGGAGAAAGGGAAACATTATGAGCAGAAGATATTTGTGATTTTTCATTTCTTAATAGATGTAGTCCTTTTAACTTTAGCTCTCCAAAGAGATATTTTAGCCACTCCTTATTGTTAACAACACCAGTGGCTTCTGTGATTCCCTTACAGTCCTGTTATCAAAAAAATTGTGAAGCTGTTGAATATCAACTGCTACCTGGAGCCAAGTTTTTTTTATAAAGCCAGCTAGATGAAAATGCCAGATTCAAAGGCAGAATGCAGAAGAATTTGTATAATTGTAAGCTGAGCTCATCCAAAAAAATGTTAGTAGAGCAGATCTTTTGTTTCCCCAACCGACCGAGGCATTCACCTCTGTTAAGCTCAGTCTTGCTACATCTCTACTACAACTGCATAGTACAAAAAAAAAAAAAAAAACAAAAAAGCTCTTCTAAAAAAATTCCAGCAATGATTTCCTTGGGAATATGCACTTATTACAGTGATTACATAGCACAGCACTGTGTGACTGTGTGTCCTTTTGCTCTTTACTTGTTCTCCAAGGAGTTGGGATTAGTGTTAACATGACATCTCAGCTAGCTCAGCAGCTAGTCCTTTATTACAGGTTCTGCTCTTCATCTGAGACTGCATGTCTTATTAAGCACTGGCCTTGTGATGCATGCTAGTAAAGTCATAATTTTTGCATTTATAAAATAAAGAACAAATTATCTTCTCCTGGAGTTCTCTCATAACAAGATTTTGCTGTACAAAATTCTAACCAGTTTCCTCCCGCCATCACTCCTATTAAGTCTTACCTAAAAGGCCACTAAAGTGATTTGTTAAGGGCTTGTTAACAGCTGTTCCCTTCCTGTGACTTTCTCCTTGTGGCTGTTGTGTGAAATAATGTTCTGTAAGAGAAAAGTAAGTGAATCATGACAATTTTTCAGTGCATCCTCACTCATCATATGAGCCATCAGTGTTTATCATGTAGGCCCTACAATCACCAGTGATGACAAATGAAAAGACAATGCAGTTATCACCTAATTTTGAGGCTCACTTGCCTCTTTAGCTCATGGGAAAATTACCTGGCTTGAAATAGAGGGATTTTTCATTTTATACATAAGACAGGCAATTGTAGCTGAAGTACAACAGAGCTTTGGGAAGCATATAAACATGGGTTATTTGTTCCCCTCATGATGTTCTAACACTTATGTATAAGTAATACAAGGTAACAAGTGAACATTTCTGCATACCCAGGGCTGAAGCAAAAATGTGTGTGAACAACTAGTGGTTTTCATCAGGATCTTATATACCCAGTCTCTGCATGCTCAGATTGTTACAAAAGCTCTGTGAATGACTGGGTTATGTGACCTCTGTACAACGGCTACTTGTTTTTTTTCCCAATAGAATGTCTCTGTTATCTTCAACACTCTTAAGAGTGTTTCCTGATTAGAGATCTAACATTGCCAGCTGTATCTTCCTGATAACTTCAGCATGCTCTGGGGTCACTGAACAAGTCACATGTACATTTTACGTGGCCACAGTTTACTAATAAAATTCATGTCTGTACTGCTTTTAAGAGCAGCTTTTATTAATATCTATCAATATATTATTAATAACTAATAAATATACCTAAAAACAAATTATATATAAATATTACTATCTATTGTTAATTATATCATTGATCTTATAATGTATATTAATATACATTAATATACTATTATTAAAAATATGTTAGTAGTGATCTCTTTAAGTTAGAGTTCAGAGGTAGCCATAAGTACATAGTGTGACCACAAAGGTAGGAGCTCTTCAAGATGTCCCTTGAGGAAATGTGGGAGAGAAGGAGTGAGAAGTAGTCTCCTACTCTGCCCCTTCACTGCCTGCTCTCTGAGAAAAAGTGTGCTGGAAACTGAAGCCACCCCTCCTGTCAGTGCCATGTTCCACCATTATGTCAAAAGTCACCATCTGCATCTTCACCTCTAGCTCACATACATCCAATGGCTCCACAAATGCCTGCTTCTATAGTGACCAGAGGCCCCTTCCTTCCCCCTCAAGACCCAGCAGCTGTGTATTCATTTAAAAGGAAGATCAGTGAGTGGTTTGTATGCAGGTGGCTTACATGTGGGGGTTACTTTTCTTGGGACAAGGTGGTGTGCCACAGCAAATTGTCTTCCCATTGCTACTGCAGAGATGTGAAGTGCTGGTGGGTCAGCTTCTGAACAGCTGCAATTTGCAGCATTGATTTTTCTGGTTTATAACCAAGATCTGTCACAGTTTTCAGGTTTGTAAAGGACAAGACAATGCACCAACCATATCCAACTGCAAGTTGTCTGATGAGAGAAAAGGACATGAGCAGCTCACTAATCTTTCTTGCAGGCTTCTGCATCCATTATATTCCTTCCAGTCAGGTGGAAACAAGATGAAATTTTGGAAGACTCAAGTGATATTGAAATGAGAAGCAGGGCAAGAGCACTGCCCAGAGGAAAAATGATGGAAGAAGCCCCGGAACAGGGAGATGAAGTAAATGAACTTTACTTAGCTTTCTTTCTCCTTTCTGAGGGGCTCCAAGAACCTTCCTCAAGATTTACATCTATTGAACGAGTTATTCTTAACAGGAAAAGTGAAGGACCCACTCCAAGAATTAGGTCATACATTCCAGCTTCCTGGCAATAAATAATGGAAAAGTATCTGAGTGAAGGTTATCAGTCAACACAGTGTTTTGTTCCATAAAGCTAGGAAGTCCAGTCTATGTTTTCTAATGCACTGTTGTCTTGGTGTAACTGCAGTCACCAACAAAGTACCACACAGCCACTGGCTCTGTCCCCACCCCCAGTGGGTTGGGGAGGAGAATCAGGAAAAAGTTTAAGCCCATCAGTTTAAATAAGAATTATTTAATAATTTAAGTAAAATATAATTAATAGTAATCATCTATAGTAGTAATAGTATATTACTACTATAGTAGTAGTAGTAGTAATGGAGAGAAAAGGAGAGAGAGAGAGAGGGAGGAATAAAACCAAAGAAAGATAAAATCACATATTCCTCGATATATGAGGAATAAAGGTGAAATAGGAGTAGAAAATTATCTACCAGAAGTAAAGTGATGCACAATGCAATTGTCAGCACTTGCTGACAGATGACCAGCCCATCCCCAAGAAGTGATCAGCCCTTCTTGAGCAAGTCCCCCAGTTCATATACTGATATTCTATAGTATGGAATATCCCTTTGGCCAGTTTGGATCAGCTGTCCTTGCCAGGTTCCCTCTTTGCTGCTTCTGTATCTACACACTGACACGGGAGTCATGTGAGAACAGGAGACTGAAAAGTCCTTAACTTAGACTAAACACTACTGAGCAACAAAAATCCAAACCACAGCACTGTAACTTAAATTACTTTTGTCCCAGCTAAACCCAGGGTGCCTGCTCTTGTGATTTGAAGCATCATGACTCCTTTAGATACACTGGGAGTTTTCTTTTAATTTCACTTGGCAGATCACAAACATTATTATAAAATTTGTCTATTAAAATTGCCAATTTCTCTTTTTTTTTAATGAGTGTATATTGATTATAATGTCTAATTTTCCCCTGTTCATTCAACTCTGACACAGCTGTGTCTTTTGGCCAATATCCACTTTCTAGTAGCAAATCAGCTTCTACTTGCAAAGTTCAGATTATATAGATTGGTTTTAATATGGTTATTTTCAAGAAAAAAAACTAAGAATGTAAACATTTCAATAAATATTTGAAACAAAAAACTAAACACTCCAAAACCAAATCTAAATTAATCTCAGCAATCTTGATCACCATGTAATATTAACTACTGGGGGGCCATTATTCTCATTTTTATCTGGACTCTGCACCTCTGCCCCATATGCTTTTGGCCAGCCTAGAAAGCTCTAGAGGTTAAGTAGCTCTACAGCACAGTCATGGATGGGAGGGCTGCCAGTACCAGTGCAAGGAGAATGCTCAGTAGTGCAGTAGCCCTGTACCACAGCTGCAGAGAAAATAAGAATATTAGCTGATCTCTCACAACTCTCTCCTTTCAGTATTGTGGAGTTATGCATTAGAGCAGTGTTAATCTGCAGGGGTTCTATTTGAAAAAACAAACTGAAGTCAGAAGAAAACACACAGAAAATCAGGTTTTAAAAGAGGAAGCTTTTAGAAGAAGATATATTTGTCTAAACAAAGCCCAAGATAAGATGCCCTGTATCTGCAAATAAATAAGAGTAGAAATAACCTCCAGAAGTAAACGCATTCTTGGTAAAAAAACCTTCTCTAAGTTATCTTGTAAAGTCAGATCAGGTTTACTTTAATAAGGCACGAAAAGCCATTTTCAAGGGCAATAGCATCTTGTTGAATAGGACCCCTGATTGATGCCTACTGGTAGTTGGCAATATGATGTGAGATGAAGGAATTCACAGTACCCATGGGAAATTTTAAAACAGTGTCAGTTTTCTCAGAAATTACATAATATGCTTGTAGAAAAGTTAGAGGAGCAAACCTCTAAATCAATTACCCCTACTGACCCCTGCAGCCAAACCAAGCCCATCAGAGGATCTTTGAAAAAAAACCCAACCATCAATCAGCCAACGAATCTTCTGGCTCTACAGGTTCATTAATTTTAAGAAACCAACCTGTTTGGATCCTTTGAAAATCCTATATACATCAAGCCTGTGATAATACTCACATGACTAAGAAAAAGTCTCCTGTCTCCAGGATCTTTATGGAGTATTTACATGAATAAGAATACATGTTATTTTAAAAACAAACAATCAACCTGAAGGTGGGGTAGATGTAAACAAGGAGGGTGAAAGGAGAGTTACGACAAACAGGAGATGACTCACTGAAAGTCATGTGATGGAAATGAAAATGGTATAAGAAAGAATTTGAAGCTTCCAGAAGAGGAAAGCAAAGAATGATCATATCTATTTGCAGATTTCAGAGTAATTAATCAACATTTCCCTCTCCTCTGCTGTTTTTGAACCAATCAATCCTTGACAAGAAAAAGTGGAGTAGCCCTTTTATTAAAAAGTCATGATGGTAGCTGAGATCAGCTGTGGCATCTTCGTAAATGAGTTGCTAGTTTTCATCTCGGAGATGAGCAAAGCCTGAGAGAGTTCTTGATTATGAAATACATTGTTTTCACAGTACAGGGAGTTAATTCATATCCACTACCCTTCTCAAGGGCTGGCTGCTAGTTCAAGATTCTATAAAGCTTTATGTGGAGTCTAGAACAGATGTGACATGCTGTTTGCATCATTCAAAAATCTCAGTATAATTTTTTTGTCCTAAAATTTCAGCTCTTGGAATCATGTCATTAAGAACAGACCTTTTTGTTTTCTCAATTACAGCTCTTCATTGTCATGGTTTCAGAGAAATAGTTACAAACAGGAACCATGAATGTTAAGTACAGAATTTGGTAAGACAAAGTACATGATTTTAATCAACTACTGTAGTTTTTTTTAATAATCATTTGATGAGTATGAGGCTTGTTCTGAGCAGCTCACTCTGGCTGACCTTGCTTCAGGTTGGGGGTTGACTAGATGATTTCAAGAGATGCCTTCTGACTTCAATGATTCTGTGATTCTGTGTTTGCAATGTCAGACTCTTCATTATGATTGTAAAAGGGTTCATCTTATATACAGCAAAAAAGACCTATTGTTTTCTGTTGCCATTCATTTCCCAAATGTTTCTCCCTGTGGTAGTGAGTGTGTGAGTGCAATACCTTCAAATACAAACACAAAACCAGACAGTCCTTGCTCTTATCTAGTCTATATGAATAATGGCTCAGGTATGACAAAAAGTAGAACTGGAAATTCTTTTAAATATCTGTGTCAGAATGATAATTTGAGCCAAATTATCATGAAGATGACATTTCATTAATTGTGTTAAGTTAGGGACAAAGATGAAAAGTATGAATGTGTTAATCTCATAATTTTCAAAAGCATTTATTATGCACGTCTGATAGGTCACATCCCCAAAAGGAGGTAGGGAGATCTGAGAAATAAGCCTTCATATGCAGCCCCCCCATCTCCCACAGTGAACATGCAGTCTGTGGATGTGTGAGAATAGCAGTATTTCAGAAGACTCTTAGGATGCTGGCACCCACTGGCACCATTCCCAAGCAGCCATGTGTGAACATGTCTTGAGTATATCACCTACAGAGCCTGAGAATTGTGAACCTGAAACGCAGTAACAGACCAGTAGAATCAATTGTACTTTCCTTCTATGGAAAAGACAAATCATAGAGTACTACTTGCATCAAGGTAAGCAGTCACAATTGCCATTATTTTCAAAACTTTCATGGTGTTTATTAAGTTTCTGAAACCAGTGCCTTCAGAGCTCTACTGAAACTGTAAACAATAGTCCAACTTGTACCACTAGTCTTAGGGCAGCTCTTTCCAGCATTTACTTTCTTCTCTGAGCACTGCAGGACTAAGGAGAGTAGTCTACTTGCCTTTTATCAGTTAGATTTAATGTATTTTTCCAGGAAGACTCAAAATCTTTTTTTTTATGATAAAAGTGTGGAGAATTGTTTTGAATGCAAATAAGTATGCTCTATGAAGTACGCTTGAGACTGTAACGTACTTTTGGATGACAGTGGAAAAAGAAATCTTATTCATAGACAATTTTTGAAAAAAGTTTTCTTTCATTAAAAGCTGTTACAATATGTTCAATATATTGACTGCACAGCAAAGAAATCCTGCAGGAGAAAGAGCAATAAATCCAATTACCGAAGACTTTGAGTTCAGAATCCATAGGTGTCATACCAAAAACCAAGTTCCTACACAATATTGTGAGAGAATAGAATACATAAATTGAAGTTGTTTTCTCCCTCTTTTTATGGAAATCCTAGGCTATTACAAAACTAGTCCTACTTGTAAAACAACTGAGTGTCAAGGACACACTAATGAATCATCACTCTGCCAGAATCACAAATCTCAGGAATGGATGGCTTGCAGGGAGGGGGAAGCAGTAGTCGTGAAGCTGTGAAGATTATTTTGCACTTGCTGATCATCTTTAATGGATGCATTTTACCCCTTTTCTCATTTGAAATGAAGGATGTTATTTCAAATTCTCAAGTTCAACTAAATAACACCACAGAAGGAAGGGTCACAATCTGAGAACAAATGTCCATATCTATCAACATTTTCACAAGCAATTCTCTTTATCTGAAAAGCTACCCAAGCTGTTCCACGCAGCTGCTTGCACTAATAATTACTTGTGTCCTTGCTGTGTTAGCTTAAATGCTTATTGAAGCTGGCCACAAAAACCATATGTCTATGCCTAGACAAAACAGTCCTTAGCTTATGGACTGTTTGCAAATTAATGTGTATCTGGACATCAAGACTAACATTTCCTTGATGTATTACACTGTGAATTGCTGAGATTCAACATGGAGAGTATACAAAACTGACTTAGCTGGTACCTCAGTAGCAAGTCTGTGGCTGAAAATGCTACTCCTCTGAGCCTTCCACTGAACTTTTCATATTTAACACATGGAACAGCATCAACTTCATCTGGCTCTTCCAGTACAAATCCATCAAGGTGAATGCAGTGATCTTTTTGTAAAGCATCATCTATCAAATGGTAGGTTGTTTTACTTGACACATTCAATCTATCTGTATGGAAAGTTTTGCACAATGGCATCTTCCTAATTTTCCACTCATCTAGTGGGACTGTTCTTGCATTATCATTTTACTGAAAAATAGAGCAGTTATTCTAGCTGCAAGGATAACCTTGTTCTCTAAAATGCTTAAACTCTTTTAGTGTGTCCTTTTGCCTTCAGAAGATAAGGCAGCATAAATGAACAAGGACCACAACATTAAACAGTACAACAATAACATTTGTCTCTTGTTCAATCATATTAATCAAATGCTAATAATGCACTTGTAATAAATATTTACAAACTGCTTTCTCTTGTGTTTTGGGAACACATTATAATTGCTGATACAAGCCAGGAAGGATGTCACTGGGCTTCTTGGCCATCTAGGCATACTGCTGGCTCATGTTCAGCCAGCTGTCAACATACACACACAGCTCCTTTTCTGCTGGGCAGATTTCCAGCCACTCAACTCCCAGCCTGTAGCACTGCCTGTGCTTGTTGTGACCCAGGTGAGGGACCCAGCACTTTGCCTTGCTGAACCTCACACCACTGGCCTTGACCCATCAACGCAGCTCCCACTGCAGAGCCTTCATACACTCCTGCAGATTCAACACTCCAGCCCAAATTAGTGTCATCTGCAAACTGACTGAGGGCACACTCAAACCCCACATTTAGATCACTGATGAAGGTATGAAACAGGGCTGGCCCCAACACTGACCCCTGGGGAACACCACTGGTGACCATCCACCAGCTGGATGGAGCTACACTCACCATCATTCTCTGGGCCCAGCCATCCTCCCAGTTTTTATGAAGTGAATAATGCACATGTCCAAGCCAGGGACTATCTAGTTTCTCCAGAATAATCCTGTGGGAAATTATGAGAAAAATTTTATTAAATTCCAGGCATACAATATCTACATTTATCAAATATCAAAGCATTTCCTTTATCCACTAAGTGAGTCACTGTTTCATAGCAGGAGATCAGGTTGGTCAAACAGGACGTGCCTTTCCTAAATCCACTCTGGCTGGGCCCGATCCATGGTTGTCCTGCGTGCGTTCACAATGGCACTCAAAATGATCTGCTCCATGACCTTCCCCAGCATCGAGGTCTGGCTGATAAGTCTGTAGCTTTCTGAATTCTCCTTCTGACCCTTCTTGTAGATGGGGGTCACACTTGCTAAGGTCTGGTCAGCTGGGAGCTCCCAGGTGTGTCAGGACTGCTGGTAAATGATGGAAAGTGGCTCAGCGAGCTCTTGGACTAGCTCCTTCAGTACCCTCTATCCAGGTGGTGACCACATAGACAATGAGGAGCAGCAGATACATCATGTCTTACTACTCCTGAATGATTTTGAAAGCATCACAGGAGCGACATACAGAAAAAGATAAAAGATAAGGAAGTAAGTATACTTTTTGACTTTGCCTTCTTCCTTAACTAGTTAGCAAATGACATCCATTTTATTTTCTCTAGAATGAATTTTCTAGGAATCAAAATTAACTCTAAAAGAAGGTAGCTACATTCATATTGTAAAAACCTCTTTTTCAGGACAGGAAGGAAGCAGGATTATTTCCAGATAGCTGTGAGTCATAGCATGCAAACAGAAGACAGATGGACATGCTTACTTGACAGAACTTTTTTATAATTCAGTGTAACTATTCTCTTCGTTTTTTCCTTAATTACATTGACATGAGGTGAAAAAAATAACAGGTTCTAGGATGTTTGACTTGGATTTGCCCTATTTGTACAACTGTAACAGAGAAATATTTCAGGATTCCAGAGGCTAGGTACAGACAAAGCCAGAGATTTAAATAGGCCCATGTTTAGGACTCCATTTCTATGAATCACATTTACAAAACATTGCATTGAAAAGGGGACTAGAAAAGCTTGGACTCAGTGCTGTTAGTACTAAAAATCTGCTAAAACCCTGTCTGTCATTGTAGCTTTTAAATATATTTTTAGTACTGTGTTTCACTAGCCTTGACAGTATCAACCCACCAAAAAAGCCATGCATGCATAGAAGAGCTGGAGGCCCAGAAGTAAGGTCTATATGTTATGATTTTCCATGAGCTGAAAGGATCTGACCAGTTCAACTGCACTGGAAATGGGTTGCTACTGCCTAACCCTGCCCCAAGCACCAAGTTTTTGGCTTGCAAATGCTCCCAAGAACCTAGGCTGTTACTTAATATCCTATTATCTAAGAGCAGTATTTTTTTGATTCTGCTCAGTGTGCTTCATGCTCCTCCCAGGAACACAAAACAAGCTCAGCTCCAGTTTGCAAGAAGAAAGGCTGGAACATCCAGTAAGAAGTCCACTGGGCAACAGATCCCCTTTCTCTCTTTGCCACACCTAGACACAGATGTTTTAAGATTTTCTTCTAAACCAAATATCTAAGATGAAAAAAAAAACCCCAAACAAACAATAAAGCCAAGCTAGCTATGAATTTTCTTTGCTATCAGGTGGTAATAAATTCATTTTGTTATCTAGATTATGTCTGGGAGCAATGAAAATAGGAAGCCTCTGGACTGCAGCTTTGCTGATCTTCAGCTCTCTTCAGAGATCATCTATTGCAGCAGGGCTAGAGATTTAAATAGTAAAGATCCTTCACAAACCATAAGTGCTGTAGGAGTTAGAGTTTTGCCATACACACTGCAGAAGAGAAAGAAATAGTACCTGCACCTTGGCAAACTTTCTGGGCTAGGCTTACATATCTGGAGTTTTCTAAATATGCAGTCTTAAATGGATGGCCCATGAATTCCTGTTATCTGGTTTTTTTAGCCTCTATGAATAAATAAATCATATTATATGATATGAAACCTATGAAAAGACTAGCAGTGTTTTCTCATTGTTGATAAGTCAGAATGCAGTCAACCAGTGTGGTACTCCAGGTTTCCGCTGGTTAAAAGGCTCTCAAAGACTTAACTGATAGAAATTTAAAGTCTCATAGATTCACAATGGAGCAAATCTCCTTCTGAGGGGATAAGATAAACTGTAGTGCTTGGTAGAGTGCCATTCAGCAGACATTTAGTCAGCACCAGCTAGGACTCAGAAAACAGTCAGTCTTGACTGAGGTTTTGAGGTTTTGCTCAGAAGTAATTTACCAAATCCAGAGCATGTGGAATTCCTGTGAGAAGCCAGGTACTCCACCCTGTCAATAGAACATATACTCCACAGCTGCTCTACTGCTGAGTGAAGCTCTCAGGAGGAAGGGAAGAAAGTTCAATCTTTGTTCAGCCAGAAAGATCAGACCCCTCCACAGATGCAGCTGGGGGCTGTACACTGCCCTGCACAGCTGCATCTGGCATAAGCAGGCAGCTGGGATCTGCCAGTGCAGCAGGAGCACAGAAAATAGGAATGACTAACACTTGCCACTCACACCCTTGCATTACTTCCAGTTTGACTTAGACAAGACTGCCCTTTTCTGATATTTTGTCTTGCCACGTTCTCAGTCACTTCCAGAGGGTAATGAATCTGACACGCTGATTTTTGTTATTTATCATTTTATCTTTTAACAAAAGTCTGCATTTGGTCCCCAGCAGGCAGTTTTAGGACAACTGAAATGCTGTCTAAGCAAACACAGATGAGCTGGTTATATCACACAAAAGCCTTTTTCTGTCATGACTAATTTCAGACCCTCCCTGTTTCCTATGCAGATTCCAGCCTTGTTCCCTCATGCACAGAGAATTAAATTCTATGCCTGCATTTCCTTCTGGATTCTCCTCTGGGACACAAACTTATTCAGACAAGCTCAGGAGACAATAGAAAGACATCACCAACAGCACTGGCTATCCACCCTGTAGAACTCCTTTGTATTTCAGTGCATGGCTATCCCTGGCATTGTAGGAGCCAACCTTCTTCCTATAACTGCACTCTAGGTCAATGGCCCTCTGTTTTTTTCTCTTCCTCTTTCCCAAGGAAAGCATCCTGCTAGGACAAATTCGAGATTGCACTCTCCTGCCCACACTGGGATTTTAGTTTTCTGTGTTGCATGTTCCGGCTTTGGTAGGAGAAGTAACCCCTGTGTCAGGTGAGTTCCTCTGCAGCTTTGTTATCTGCAATGGTCTATCTAACATCTGCTGAAGGACATTCCTCTTCACAAGGGCAACAGAGGTTATTACAGATTTTTTTCTGGCCTTTGCACATCTGTAACCTCATACATGCAAATGCCTGATACTGGTAAGAAAAATCTAAGAGGAGGTAAAGGGGAGGTATGATTGACTGTCCTATTTATAGGTTTATTTATTCTCTAAATGAAATTAATGTACAACAGGTGCCGTGTCCCCAGGGAGCCATATTCATTATGAAGCAAAATTCAAATATGAATAATTAACCTACTTTATTGTGTCCAATGTGGGGCAAAACAAGACTGCAAAGAGAAAATAAAAGACAAGTACATAGACCCTACTGAAATAAAGACTTCACTTCTAGTTTAATTCTGATGGGACAGCTGTCTTGCAGCTTCTGCTGCTTTGAGTAAATCTGGCAGATTTCTTCACTCTCAGAATATTGCTTTCAGAAGTAAAACTTATTTTGGTTACAGTTCATTACTCATGTTTCTTTAAATATTTTATGAAAGTGACATCAGGTGTGTCAAAAGGCACTTCTTATGGCTGCTTCTGCAATTACTAAGCAAGTCTCCTAGATATTATTTTCTTTTTACTTGGGTAGATGAACTCCTTATGTAATAAACATGCCTTCAGTTTCTGAGCATCTGTATTTACCTCAAAGGACAGACATACTTCACATCAGGACCATAACATATTATGATCCTCAGTCACCCTGATTATGGGATCTCCTGAAAAATCCTGCAACTATCTCCCATAGTTAATTTTTCAGGAGAGATGTATATCTGTGTCTTCACCTTATTCAATACAGAAATGATGCAAAAAGGTACATCTGAAGCCAAGGGGTGGGAATCACTCCCAGATTCCCCTGGTAGAAATGCAGCTTGTGCAACTGTTGATGGAATTTTTCCATCTGTTTGAGAAGAAAATGTATGTTTTCATGACAATTCAGCAATCTTTCTGTTGTGCATATCCCACTATCTCTCTTCCTTCCCAAAGACAGACAGCAGGAATAACGACATATAGTCTTGTAATTTGAAGAAATTAATACTGCTTTTTTCAGGAACACTAGAATAAAATCTTTTGCACTCCATTACATATTTAATAATAAGGGAAAAAAATGCTGAAGAACCCAAACGTTCTTTGCCAATGTCTTCCCTGGACTATTTTCAGTTTCATGCTGTTGACTTTGCTCTAAGCTTCCTCAGATTGCATCTCTGTAACACAGCACCACTGACAGTGATCTCTTCTGGTTCCCCATTTCTAAAGAAGAACAAAAGTTTGCCTTGGCTTTGCAGATGACATGTCAGCTTTTCTTCTCAATACAACACAAGGGCTAGCTTTCTTCCCCAGAGACCAAGGACCAAGCACCATGCCCAAATCCCTCAGAGCCTCTTTCTAGAGTGCTCTGAAATCCTAATAAAAGCTGACACTGAATCCTTCTTCCTGATTTTCCCCTTGACACCAGAGGCTAACTTCACTCAGCCAATAGCAGGAATACAGCCTCAGTCCTATCCTCATCTGCTGTATTTAAGCAACCAATCAGCTGCTTTGAACAGCACAATGTTAAAAGCAAAGAAAATACTTTAAATTATATATGAAGCCTATAGAAATAATTAGAGAAGTATAATCAACATAAAAAATCACACTGAATATGACTGTTTGAATATGCACCAGAGAAAACAAAATCAAAATTATAGATATTCTACACAAAATTTATAAGAGATAAACAATCCAGCCAAGCACTTTAGGACTTGCCTTTGAGCTAAAGATCTGAAAATGTTTGGTCTTTAAACTAAATACTTT